AACACTCTTCATCAAAAGAACTTGTTGTTGCTTGGTGAAGATCGTTTTTTGACAACACTTATGCTTAGAAACTTCCCTCAAAGAAAAATGACTTTTTGTCCACAGGCCGTGTGTAAAACTGTTGTTCCTGATGAATTCAAAGTTCTACTATCCCAACGTCGTCGATGGATTAATTCAACAATTCATAATCTAATGGAATTAGTGTTAGTCCGTAACCTTTGCGGAACTTTCTGTTTTTCCATGCAATTTGTAGTGTTTATGGAGTTGATGGGTACAGTCGTTTTACCTGTGGCTATCATGTTGACCTTTTTATTAATTACAACATCTATAATAAATCCACCAAATAATTTCTCCGAATCTATACCATTGTTAATGTTGGCAGCCGTTCTTGGATTGCCTGGTATATTAATTCTCGTTACAACGAGAAAGTTAGTATATATTACTTGGATGTTGATTTATTTATTAGCATTGCCAGTATGGAATTTTGTATTACCAACTTACGCATATTGGCATTTTGATGATTTTTCATGGGGAGAAACTAGAAAGGTTGAAGGTGAAGGCAAAGGTGATGATCATGGTAAAAAAGATGGTTCGTTTGACCCTTCGAAAGTACCATTGAAACGTTGGGAAGACTGGGAACGAACAAGACTTCGTAGAGTTAAGCGACAAGAACGTAAGAGACAACAAATGGCTACTTTGGCAGTTCGCACAAGTCATTTCGATGATAATTATACAGAAACTTCATCCAATACTTCCGGTGATATTGGAGTGTCACAGCAATATTATGAACAGAATGATCCTGCCGCTTCAGATTCTTATGATCAATACCAATTAGGACAATATCCGCAAGGCAAATATGATAAACAACAATAATAATAACAATAATTAATTAATTAATTAATAATAATAATAATTACAATAGATAGCGGATATTATAGATTATATTTATATATATATATATTTTTTTTTAAATTCACTCCATTTAAAATAAAAAAAAAAAAATTAGTTTTTTGTAATATAATAATTTTTTCAAATAAATTTTTACACATAGTGCAAAGTCACATGATGTTTGTAATACCAAACTTTATATAAAAGGTCACTCCAAGTTCTTTTTGGCTTGAATTTAATTAAAGATGACTAATAAGAAGCAAAAGAAGAAAAATAAAAATACTAACAATAATGTTTCAGACACATCGGCAAATAATGCTAATAATAAATCATCACCCACGACAACAGCAACAACGACAGTAACAACACAAGCAGCTTACCCAAATTCACAACAGTCTCATTTATCATCGAAGGATAATAAACAAGCGAAAGAAAAAGAAAAAGAAAAGGAAACAACTAATGTTGATGATGATCAAGCAGTAGAAGAACCTCAACAAAAAGGATTTAAAGGTCAGGCTAAAAAGGATATGCAAGCTGTCGAAGGATACGTTGCTGAAAGAGCTGAAGGTGAAGGAATTGATGAATCGAAATTGGATAAAGTAAGGGTAGCAATTTCACTATTGCTTTTTTCGTTTGATCCCTTTTTTTTATATATATATAATGTTTTTTTTTAAAAAATTGGGTTCATTCGTATAAATATTTTTTTTTTGAACAGGCTTTAAACATCGTTAATGAAGAGATTGTCAATGAAGAGAAAAAACGTCGTAATGATCAAAAACTCCAAAAGTAATGTTTATTTATTTCTTTTATTGTTTTTAATCGTATTTAAAATTAACTTTGATCACGTTTTTTTATACAAATCAATAAAGACAAAAGGATTCCGAGAAAATTAAAGTATCAAGAGAAGATATTGAATTTATTGTAAGATTCTTTTTTGATTATAACCATCATCCTTTATCTATTACTCATGAATGTTTTATTTAGATGAAAGAAATGGATGTGATGAAGCATGAAGCTGATAAATACTTGAGAGAGCATAAAGGTGATTTGGTTGAAGCATTGAAAGCAATGGTGAATGCTTGTTAGAACTAATTTCACCTATAATAAATTAATATAATAATGCTATCAAAGATCGCATGTTCGTGTAACCGCTACACGTTGTATACAAACGTTTACGTCTAATTTATATACATAATTTTCTTTAGCATTAGAGTTCACTAATATAAAAATGACAATTACTAGAGGTTTTGCAGCTTCAACGTTGCCATTAGTTCGAACCTTACCAAATACTATTATTAAAAAACATTCCGGTAAAAATCAAAATTTATATAAATCTTTATCCCCAATTGTTTCGCGTAATTTTTCTTTGCAATTTGAGTCGGAAAAGTCAAAAACTTTTTCCAACCAGCATATTATTCCACGTCTACCTATTCCAACATTACAAGAAACTGCTGAACGTTACAAAAAAAGTTTGCTACCGATTTTTAAGCCTGAAGACTATGCTCGTGCTGCTAATGTAATCGATGAATTTGTAAAAATTGGCGGTTTGGGCGAAGTTCTTCAGGCAAGGTTGTATGAATTAGATAAATTCGAAAAGGTACAAGCAATTCGACGTGAAAATACCATAAAATTTACTATAATTGCTTAATGAATGAGATTTTTATTTGATAATTTAGCATAGTTGGCTTGAAAATATTTGGTTGAATAAAGCTTACCTTGAATGGCGAGAACCCACGCTTATAAACGTTAATTGGTGGTGCGAATTCAAAGATCATCCTAATGGGATTCTCAAACAAACCATACCAAAGGGACAAGTAACAGATTTTCAGATAAACAGAACGGCAGGTTTTATTTCCAATTTTTTGGATTTCAATGATACGATTAACAAGTATGTATAACCTTTATGTAATTACTTACTTTCTAAATGTTTAGTTTTTATATTCACGAAATATTCATTGAGATTTTGATTTGCTTGTAACAAAGTGAATCACTACCTCCGGAATCTTCGCGTCAAGGTCCCTTATGTATGAATCAATATAGAAAACAATTTGGTACAGCTCGAATTGCTGACTTTCCGTCTGATCGGATTATTTCCTCCTGGCCGACTACTGCCAAACATATAATCGTCTTATTTAGGGATCAAATTTTTAATGTTCAAGTTTTAGGCGAAGGAGGAGCAAGGGTCTCTATCAAGGATATTGAAAGGTTATTATTTAACTAAATTTTATGAACGCACGTATGTGAAGTCATATTTTGATCTCATTTATTATTTATAGACAACTTAAATCGGTAGTTGAACAAGTCAATAATACCATTGAGCTACAACTTCCTATTGGTTTGTTGACCGCCGAGCATCGAGACACTTGGGCTGCGGTAAATATTAAATAACTGATCATTTATGTATTTATTTATATGTTTGGTTTTCATTTAGATGTTTACATTTAGGCACGCAAAACACTTGAATCTCAATCAGAAAATCGATTGAATTTAGAAGCGATAGATACGGCATTGTTTTGTGTTGCATTAGATGACTATTCGACCGATAGTGATATTGACATTACTCATCACAATATTTTCCATGCATTTAATGGTCGTAATCGTTGGTTCGACAAACCTCTTCAAGTAATTGTTCAGAGTAATGGACGTGCTGGAGTCAATGGAGAGGTATTATTACAGTTTCAGTATTTCAATCGTTACGTTTTAAAAGAATTAAGATTGATCATATATGTAAAAATTATAAGCATTCCCCTGCCGATGCAGTTATTCCTGGGCGTTTCTTTGATTATATTGTATCAAAGTAAGTTGTTTTAAATTCACTTTATCGTTCATCATAAAAATTAAATCTTGAATCATAGTTAAAATTCTTTTTAAAGGGAGCCAGCACAGGACCCAAATAACAGTTGTTCAATTCCACTTCCTACCCCTAAACATCTTAAATGGGTCAATTGTTCTTCATTGGGAACCACCATTAATCAGGCGCAATCTAATATTCAGACGGAAATTGATAACGTTGATAGTGTTTTATTGCACTATAATGAATACGGATCGAATTGGCTTAAAAGCGGTATAAATTTAATTTTGATTTATGATTTTTTTTTTTTTTTTTTTTGATGATTCGATATACATTAACATAAATATTTATTTTATTTTATTTATTTATATTTAAAGCTAAAGTTAGTCCGGATGCGTTTGTCCAAATGGCTTTGCAACTTGCTTACTACCGACAAAATGGAGAACCATGTCCGACCTATGAGTCAGCTTCTACCAGAGGATTTTTACATGGACGCACAGAAACAGTGAGGTCTTGTTCAGTCGACAGTGTAGCCTTTACGAAGGCTTTTGATGATAAAGATATCAAGGTATCATATTTCATAATATGGTTTGTTGTCAAATGATCAATATTTTTTGATTCAATAATTTTGTCATTGTTGTTGTTTTTATTAGAAAGAACGAAAGCTAGCTTTATTCACAAATGCAATTAAGTCTCATATGGAATATATGATTTCAGCTACCAATGGTAAGAAAAAATTTTAATGAAAGTTATCATATAAGATTTCTATTTGTTTATATTTCACTTCTCAATTAGGTAAAGGTGTCGATCGACATTTGTTAGGATTAAGATGTCAAATCCAAAATGAAGAGGAAAAATCACGTGCGCACATTTTTACCGACCCAACATATGCACGATCAATGTATTTCAAACTTTCATCATCTAATATGAGTCCGGGTGATTATTTTTATGCTGGATTTGGAGCTGTGGTGCCTGAAGGATATGGAATCAATTATGGAATTGGAAAAGAGGGAATGAAGTTTAGTATTTGCAGTTACAAAACATGTAAACAGACGGATAGTGTGTCCTTTAGAAAAACATTAAAGAATGTGTTTGATGATCTTAGAGTTGCATTATAGATAAGTAATCATAACCTCACCGTTCATGTGTACGGATGGTAAATTAAAGTAGGATTCTAAACGATAATAATAATATTAAGAACTAGACATTTTTAAAATCAATATTGTATTTAATAAATATAATTAATTTATATAAAAGATGTAAATGTTTTAGTATTAATGAATTTTTTTTTTTTTTTTTTGAGGATTTTAAGCCCATGATTCTAAGTTGTCGTAATTCTAATCTCTAATTCTTTTCCAGCGTAAATAGGAAATAAAGTTGTCTCAATATATTTACTAAAAGTAGATTTAGGAGTACCAATAAATTGAAAACCTTTAGCAGAGATCATAGAATCCAACATAGGAATAAGATATTTTGCTAAAGGGGTTTTATCTTGAGCATTTCTAACGTATTTTATATCAATTAAATCTTGTCCAAAATCATCTAAAACAAATACACAAGGAAAAGTGTTAAAAAATTTAAATAATAAAGGATTGTTTCTAGGAGACGCTGCATCAGTGGCTATAAATATAACGGTATTAACACCTTGATCAGTTGGATGAAGTGAACTTTTACAATTAACTTTGTTTGAAAATCCATTTATCTTGTTTGAAAGTTCTGGCATATAAGCCCTTTTACGGTTAAATCCTCCTGATCCCACCATTTGATTTCCGTCTCTCTTCGTTATGTTTGTCATTTTATTATATGGATTTTCATCGCCTAAATCTACACTATCGTCGTCTAATATATCTTGATCATGAGTACCACCCTCTAATTTATCAACTTCTTCAGGTGTAAGATTTGTATATTTGTTAATAATGGTATGATACATTAAATCAATATTTTTACGAGCAGTTTTCATAAAAAACCCATCCGAAACACGTATATGAAGTCCAATAAAATTATGTTCTCCGCCCAATTGTTCAACTACTCGTTCGGCAGCTTTTTGTATAAATGAATTATGTGGTACGAGATGATGTCTAATAAATTTCATATTTTTTTCGCTAGTAGGTAATTCAGGTGCCACTCGATATGATCCAAATAATGATCCCAAATGAATTACTTTTTTATCAATTTTATTTAATTCCTCGACTGTAAAATTTCTTTTATATTTATTAGTATTTTTTAAATCACTATCCTCCTTATCATATATCCTATAATCCCATAATGCTGAATCCTTAATAAAATATATATCTTTATCTTTACTAATACCAAGGTTACTTTCAAGCCATTCAAAAGAATGATCAATTCGATTGATTATTTTATTCCATTGTCTAATTGGTTTCATATCCAATAAAAAGTCCCAAGAAACTGATGTATATGTGTAATAATCAAGACATTCGGCCGGTAATGGATATTCTTTTGGTATTTCTATACAATGATCCAATCCATTCTTTGTAGATAAAAATAACCTTTCGTACATTTTATCAAATCTAACCCAAGGAATTGGTGGTCCAAGTAAAGCTGGAGGCATAAGTAATGTTCGATTTAATAATTTTGACAATAATAATGCGTTCTCAAGTGCAATCCTTTGATTATGATATCCACTATGAGTAAAATATGCTAAAAACTTTTCTTCGGGTTCAAAATTAACTATTTTTATGTTTTCGTAAACTTCAACATCCAGAAATTTTTTAGTTTCTTGTGACGACGGATTATAGTTGACTTTATTCGGAATACCGTGTGGGTTATAATCGCCCATATCGTATGTTGGTAATCTGTTTGAAAGAGTGTAAAAAAAGGCCATTATTAAAAATAATATTATGCCTAAAAGGAACACAACTCGTGTTCTAAATTGTAATATTGCGGCCATAATGAAAATTTGTAAAATTATTATATTTGTTCCAAAATATCTTTTGTTATGATTTTCTTTATTTTATATATATATGCTAATTGTTGATTCAACCCTTTTATAGAAAAGAGGTGTGTTTTTAATTAAAAATTGATTGGGTAATCATTTATAAGATACATAATAATTCGGAAATTCAAAGTTGGACGTCAGCATTTCAAAGATGAAAATTATTCTAAAGGGTCCAATCGATCTTATACAAAAAGCAATTAAACATTCACCCATTAAATCAACAAGAATTTTTTTTTTTTTTAAAGTATTTGTCATAAATCATTCAAACTGGTTATGTGGAAATACTTTTTCTGTTCAACTCGTTTTATAAATTTTCTATTGGATACGAATCTGAACGTTAAGAAAGATTAATTTTCTTCTTTTCGAAATTTTTACTGAAACATTAATTTTCTTGAAAATTTATTTTTCATTCTATAAAAAATTCTATTACTTTTTATTTTTCAAATCTATCTTTTTGAATAATCCGAACTTAATCATAATAATTTTTATGTAATGAATTAAGGTTTACTTAGGGGTGGGCCAGAAATTACGTCATTTTGATTTTAAGGATTTCATCATTTTTATTACTTTTAAATAAGGAAATCATATAGTAAGGTGAATCCCCCTTAGGAAATTACGTCATTTCTGGCCCTTTCTTTATAATTATGTAATTTTTTAAATGTTAAATATAATTAATAAATTTAAAATATTATTAAGTATAAATTTATTAACATATTATAGTTTTTATCATTTTAAAATAATAATTTACTGTATCTAATTAAACTTAAAAATTTTATGAAAACATATTCTTTAAATATATTAAAGCTAAAAATATTTTAAATAAAATTCTTAATATAAAATTCAATATATTATAAAAAGTTTATATATATTAGAAAAGATATTAACTTAAAAAATATTTTTAAAGTTTCCTTTTTACATTTTATAGGAAACAGATTCTTAAAGCCTTGAAAATAATTTTAAATTTATTAGAAAAGGATCTTTTCAACATTAATTTAAAAATCATTATTAATGTTTCATTTTTATGATATTAATAATTAATATTTATATAAAATTAACTATAAAATTAATAATTAAACTTTATATTTAATTAAAAAAAAATTTAAAAATTTAAAAATAATTTATATGATAAAAATACTAAATAAATAATTTATACTGTAATTAATTTTACTATTTGAAACCTAAAAATTTAATAGGTTATCAAAAGTAAAATTTGATAAAATCAAAATAGATTAAAATAAGTAACTTTATTTGTAAATATAAGATTAATAATAAACTTACTAATAAAAAGTTTAATATATAATTATTAAATATTTATTTTAAACTATTACTTTAAAAATAAGTAATATTTTAAATATTTAAATAAACTATTAATAAAATATTAAGAATAAATTATATTAGCATTATTTAATATATTTTATAAAATATTATTTTATTTTCTTATTTAATATTATTTTTAATAATATTTTATATATATTATAATTAAGACTTTTATTTAAATCATTACTAATAATTTTATTAACCATCATCTTATAATATAATCACATGATTTACATCATAATGATCATTAAAATTATTGATCAATATATAAATTTTATCATTTTATCTTCTTACATTCATTTTATTATTACTTTTTACAAAATTCTATTTTTCTATATTTTTTTTTATTATTGTTTTACTAAAAAGAAAGCTGTTTTTTTTTACTATTCAACATTTACCAATATTTTAATAATATTAAATAAAACTATCTTTATATATAAGTATATATTTAAATATAAGCATACTGGAATATTTCAATTAAAAAACTATTACTGATCTCTTAAAATAATGTAATAAAAAATTAGTTAAAATAGGCTGTATTTATTTTATCAATATGTATTAGGCAATTAAATCATCAGATTTATTTATAATTAAGATAATCCTTATATATTATAGTTATTCATTTATTCTGAAATTATTTATTTTAATAATATATATCAAAAATTTCTTTAAAATATAATGAATAAGATACATTATTATATTTAAGAACTAAATTATATTTAATTAAGCATCAATAGATTAAAAGTTTTACATTTTAAATAAGAATTGATTTAAAATTAAAGTATCAATATTAGGTTAATTAGGATAAATTAAGATTAGTTAAAGTTAATTAATATTAATTAAGATTAGTTAAGATTAGTTAGAGTTAATTAGAGTTGTTTAGATTTAGTTAAAATAATTAAAAGTAGTTAAAATTAGAGTTAGGGTTATATAGATTAAATAATCATTATTAATTATATAATTATTTCTTATTTTAGATTTTAGATTTTAATGCTAATATGTTATTAACTTAGCAGATTAAAAGATCTCAAAAGGAATAGATATATATATCAGAATTGTTTTAAAGATAAATATAATATAAGAAAATATACTATATTATATAAAAATTATAAAAAGAATGAATAAACATTTACTTATATTATTCAAATAAAGAAAATATTTTTGTTTAGATTTATTATATTATATAATTATTCATATTTTAATTATATTTGTAAAATTTTATAATTTATATATATTTTTAATATTACTAATATTAATTACATGATTTATATATATTGTTATAATAAGAATGAGATTTAAAAAAATTATCAGATATGATTATTAAAAAAGTTTTATAATTAATTATAATTAATTTAAAATAAATTATAGTAATATTATATAATTTATTATTATTATTATAAGGTAATAGAATTTGTTAGAGTATCTAAAACATTCAAATTAATTGATTAACTATATTTAAAAATATTACTTAATTAACTGTAATACAATTAAGATTATTTATCTAAATTTATTTTGAATTTAACAAAATATCTAAACTTTAGTTTTGCTAATTTTTACTAAAGTTTTAATATAATTTTTATTTTTATAAGCTTTAATAAAGATTTATCTTTTTTTAAGTTTTGTAGATTTTTTAATAAGTTTTTAATATAATTTTGCTAAATTTTATCTTTTACTATTAAGATAATTTGTAAAAATTCTAGATTTCTTCTAATAACCTTAAATACAATACTTATTTATAATATTCTAAATAAATTTGAATTAATCTGAATTTAATTTAAATTTAAAAGATTAGATTCAGATCAGATTCAAATTCAGATTCAAATTTAATCTGATTTATTAAATCTAAGTTCAGATTTAGATTAATTAAAATAATTTGTTATTGTTTAAAAAAAATGATTTAATTAAACGATTTATTATTATTTTTCTTAAATAATTTATTATTATTTAATTAGAATAATATATTATCATTCTTCTTAAATAATTCATTATCATTTAATTAGAATAATATATTATTATTTTTTAAATATTTAATTAAAATGATGTATTATTATTTAATTAAAATGATATACAATTAATCTCTTATATAATCATACTCTTTGAGACTAAAAAATTTGGTATAATTATAAAAAAGTTATATAATATAACTAAGGTTGCTTATTTAAACTCATTTTAAATTTGATAAAATATCTAAATTATCTTTTAAATTATAGAGATTTGCAAGCAAATTTGCCTGCTTATTTACTATAAATTTATATCTGATTTACTTTTATAAAAAAAATAAAATCTTTTTTTATTATTGATCTTTGATTATCTTATTAATATTTACTTTTAATAATATTAATCATAATATAATATTATAAAATTTATTATGAAAGATAACTTTAATTACAGTCAATCCTCTCTAAATGCATCCCTTCAGGATTATAGTGAAAATTTTAAAAAATGTGCATTTAAAGAGAGTGTGCATTTAAAGAGAAAATTTCTATATAAATTTTATATGCTTAGAACTAAATGAGAGTGTGCATTTAGAGAGAAAATATATAGTATGTACATTTAGAGAGGATGTATTTAAAGAGGATTGATTGTATAATTTTATAATTTACTAAAAAATTTTATAATATTTATTAATAATAAAATAATTCAATTAGTTTGCAAATATATAAATTTTAAGTAATTTTTAAAAATTATTATAATAATTTTTAAAACTAATTTTAAAAATTGAATTATTTAAAAATTTCTTAATAAACTTAAAATTTCTTCTAATAAATTAATACTATTACAGTCAGTTTTTTGAGATACTTATAAGTGATAAGTGAAGCAATATTTATGGATAGTAAGCAAAAGGTTTATTTTATATTTAGATTTAGAAAAGTATCGATCAATTAACAGTTTATTTAATAATAATAACAATAGAGTATTATCTCAGTTAGTGTTCTGTACTATACAAATATATTAACAGAATTTAACTAAACTATTTAATAAAACTATCTATCTGACACACTGCTAAGCTAAAAGAAAATGTCTTCTATTTATACAAAATGAAATACATAAAGTTATTAAAGATATAAAAGAAATAAATAAAATATATAAAATAAATATAATATAATAAATATATAAGATAAATAAAATAAAAGAAATATATTATATAAAAGAAATATATATCATAAATAAAATAGAAGACGAATAAAATATATATAATTTCTTAAAAATTGACATTATCTTTTTGATCATCATCATCTATGTCTTCTCTTTTATAACAATACAATATACAGTATATTAAATTATTGTATATTTTTATATAATAATTATATTATTAATATTAATATTTTATTTTTTATTAAAAAATTAATGCTTTTTTTTATATTTGTAGGCAAATTTATCTGCTTTATAGTTTAAGGGATAGTTTTGCTAATTTTTTAATATTATAATATGATTTCACATTATTATAAGCTTTAATATAATTTTATATTTTCTGATTTAATAAGATATATAAGAGTTTGTCAATAAAAAAGTAGAAAATCTAAAATTTTCATTAATTTTAATTTTTAAACTAATTTTAAGTATATGATTGTAATCAGTCAAGTAGATCAATAAAAAAATTTTATCAAAAATTTAGATTTTCTCCTTTTCTATTGATTAGTTTCTATATAATTTTGTTAAATTTATTTTTTACTATTTAGATGACTTATAAAACCTCTAGATTTTATTTAGTAATCTTAGATATAAATATAAAAGAGGATTTTTAATAAATTTATTATTAATTTTGACTAAAGATAGCATTGCAACTAATTGCAACCCTATGATACTTATTTATCACCAGTTGCAACTTATTATAGCACTATCTTTAATTTTGACTAAAGATGGTATTACAATTAATTATAACTATATAATGCTTATTTGTCATTAGTTACAACTAGTTGCAACTCAATTTTTATTAATATTGTTAGTTACAACTATGTGATGCTTATTTATTACCAATTGCAACTAGTTGTAACATAATCTTTAATTTTGATTTACAGTGCAAAACTTCTATAATAGAACCTTAAAAAATTATTAATAAAATTTAATTTACTGATTGGATTTTAATTAAATAAAAAAAATTGATTTATATTTATTATAAAAATGAATTGATTTATAAAATAGTTTTTTTTCAATTTTGTAAATTATGTAAATATTATGTAACATATACAGATGCAGTTCTGAAAACATATTAAGGATATGGCCTCAACTATTACCCCATCGTAATGGAGAACAATGTGAGGAGTTTTGCTAAGTAAAGGTTCTACTTCATATCCAGCATCAAAGTATCCAACAACTAACAGATAACGGCAACATCTCCTGGTCAACACTTTATAATCAACATCTTGACATGATCAACAACGACCCTCCAGATTTATTAGAACAACTAGTAGATTATGAAAATGAGGTTAATGACAATAATGATAAAAGTCAAGACAAACAGATCGAAGAAGATGAAGGACAGAATGAATACAGGTATGATTAGATGTAACTTGCAGAGATGGAACCTAAAGCAATAATACAAAGAAATTCTAACCTTGGATCTCGTGACATAGATTGTAACTATGATTAGATCAATATTAGACGACAATACTACTTACGTGAAGATATTGCAAATATTCCTGATTTTATCCAACAAGCTTCAAATTTAGATAGAAACGAAAGCAGTGAAATTGAAAACGATTTAATCAATTTCCAGACTCTAAATGAAAAACAAAAAAAGTTCTCATCTGAATTGAAGCATATTACAACAGTATCATTGAGGGGAATCAGATTGAGTCATTACAGATTATAATTATGGAAACTGCAGGCACAGATAAGTCGTATCTCATCAAGGCAATATGACAGCGGCTTTGATCAATATTAGGAAATTGATCCAGAACACCTGTTCTGATGATCGCTCCTACAGGGGTGACAGCATATAACATTAATAGCTCAACGATCCACTCAATGCTGTCCATACCAATTAACAACTATTATTTTAATCTCGATAGTAAAAGGCTATGACAATTACAAGAAAGATTAGAAAATATAATTTACCTGATTATCGACGAAAAAAGCATAGTTAGACGACGAATGCTTAGGTTAATAGATGTGAGGCTGCAATAGACATTTTCTGATCAATCGAATGAACTATATGGAAGATGATCTATTATAATGTTTGGGAATTTCAGGCAGCTTCCACTAGTACTTGACCTTCCTATATTCTCCAATGATGCATCCTGAGATACCAATTCCAATAATGGTAAAGCATCATACAAATATTTGTTAGAAGTTTACAAGCTTAATATAGTTCAGAGCAATCAGGAAAATCTAAAGAACAAAAGAAATTTTGAGACTTACTACTAAGATTGCGTGAAGAAGAAAGCATCCTCAATGATTGGAACCTACTCAAAACTCAGTGATTTGCAGACGCAGTATTCATCCTAATAATGTGGGCTGAGATTAATATAATAAATGTAGAGTTACTTAGATCAATAAATCTACCAGTAGCTAAGATCATAGCAGTGTATACCAGTGGTAATGAGGCTAAAAGAGCAACTTCAAACATCATAAAGGGTTTCAAAGGTCAATTATTATTGGCGAAAGGGTCTCGTATCATGCTAATGGCAAATATATAGACTAAAGAAGGGTTGGTTAATGGAGCAATGGGAATAGTATATGATATTCTATATGAAGATTAGGGTCCACCTTCACTTTCTGTAGCAGTTTTCGTTAAATTTGATACATATGAAGAACCTAGCATAACAATGTTAGAAGGGGATAAAGTTATCCTGATAGTACCAATCAAACGAACCTGAAAAAGCAAATCTGGAGTGTTATGCTCTAGACTCCAGGTTCCTCTTTGTTTAGCGTGAACTATCACGGTCTACAGGGGCTCACGCTGGAAAAGGCAAAAATAGATATTGAAAGTAAAGAATTTGTAGCAGGTCTCTCATTTGTTACGATTTTGCAAGTTTGTTCACTCAGTGACATATACCTCAAGCAGTTCATTTTCAAATGTCTTCAATGCATAAAAAACAGTAGAAAACTACATGAAAGGAAGGAAGAGGAAGTGTGTTTACTCTCTTGGATATCTTGATAGCAAATTTGGGCTTTTATTTTTAGTATACAATTATTCTGTAAAAATAAACAAAGAAAAGCGAGACATGCATTTTTTTGGTATGAATAAATGCTTTATTTTTTAATTAATTAATTAATACATTGCTTTTTTAGAATCTGTGATACAAATTATACAATTTAACATTTGCGTAATAATTACAAACCAACCCACTAATCCCCATCGACCTGAACAGTGAGTAGACAGATAATGAAACATTTCTGTATCACTATACATAATATATATAGTCCTTCACTTCACTCTGGACTAATAACTCAGATTGGACTTTTGCATATAAGAAAGAAAAGGATCATAATAGATAACCCATAGAAGTAGAGAAATAATCTCTTCCTGATCTATGCTAACAAGGACATCATAGAAATTAGTATTACCATATGTAGTAAAAACTCTATTTTTTCTATTGAGAAATAAATTAGAAATAAGTGTTATAAAAGATTCTGAAAGTTTTAGTCTATATAGAGATTTCTTTAACATAAAAATATTAACTTGATCATATCTTGAAAGAGTATGTAAAGGTCTGATTTTTAGTACTTAGATATTTTCCTTTTTAAACAGTAGAATTCTAAAATATTATTAACTATATATAGAGGTTTTAGTGTCGATTAGTATAACAAGCTAGCAAAGTTGAATTCTTTAATAACCTTGTTCTTAATAAATATATCTTGTAACCGTTAATTCAGCAACTTGTTAAAGGCTTTTTTGATTGTTTCAAGTAGCGTGATTGATCTGGTATTGTTAAGTTAGCAGTTCTATAGTTTAGGTTTTAGTATAGAATATATGAAAGCTAAATTCCATTATGCTGGAGTATGATGTTCTGGCTAATGAATCCTTTTATCTGCCTCATACAGGTAAAATAAAAATTAAACAAAACTAATCAAACCAATCTAACTTACCATTATTTGTATCAACAATATTTCTAATCAATCAAACTTGTATTTCTGTAAAGTAATAATAAAGTGAGTTAGTTTATTGTTCAGCTAGAATATTAAAATATGTCATCATGACATTAATCAATTTTTCTGCCTCTATAAATGTTCCAAAATAAAACAGGTATATTACTTTTCTTGTTATACTATATATCAGCATTTTGATTGCTGAGAAAATCTTTGACCATGCAACAGATGCTGTAAAATTACTCACATGAATCTTGATCTTGTCATATGTAATGGTATAACAAAAGTCTGGCGCAATATATCAAACATTATAAGCATCTTCACATGCTAAATTCTTGAAACTTTGCACAGTATCATACTTGTGATATTGTGAAAAAAATTAAGGAATAAATTTCTTATATATGAGACAGACTGGAATATTCTGAAAATGAGTAATGGTAAGTGTGAATCGATAATATTATGTTGCTTTAGCAGCAGGGGGCAGACCAGTTTATTTTCACCTCAGTCTAAGAATTATAGTCTTCGAAATAAGCATTCTGGGCCCTTCTTGCTACTAAAATCATTACTTATTAATTTTACCGTTCTAGGGTTCTCAAAATATAGTTTTAGTATATCGATAAAATTAGTATTCTTAGAACGTGTTCTAGCCCTTCTTGCTCAATGAAATTACTAATTTGTTTTTTTGCCTTTGTGCGCCTTCCTGATTATAATTCTGACATAATAAAAATTTACACCTAATAGAAAGTATATGCAGACCATGTTGTTTTCGCCTGAAAATCTTAAGAATGATAGTTGACAAATAATATGCTCCAGCCCCCTCTTACTTATCAAAAATACTAATTTATTTTCTTGTCTTTGTGCACCTTCCTGATTATAATTTTGTCATAATAAAAATTTACACCTAGATGTAAAAAAAAATACACCTTTGATCTGTATTCCAGATCTTTCTCACTCATCAGAATCATAAATTTGTTATCTTGCTTTTGTATGCTTTTCTGGTTATAATCCTGCGTGTGGACCAAATTATTTTCATCTGAAGGGTAGGTATAAAAAAATTATCTGGCTAAGTCCAACCTCTAAGTCCTATCTATAGGTGTAAAAAAAAAGGGGAACCTAGCAAGGTTGAGCGACAAGATGCTTATGGTGTAATTTTTTCAAAAAAGATTAGCATATCAGATCTTCTGTTTAGTAGCCATAACCCTATCCCAAAATTTATAAGGGTACGCACTCATTACAATGTTCTTCTTCTTCTTTTCCAATTGGGATAAAATATTCCTGACAGAGTAAAATATTAAGTTTTGTAAGCCAGTCTCTATGTCTATTCATAAGTTGCTCATAAGTAAGGGGATGGTTTAAATTTTTCTGAGCAATCTGATTTCTGAGTTCTTGTACCATAGCCCTATAGCTCTATCTCGAAGCCTATTAATATACTGGGTCACATAATAACTGTTAGCATGCTTTCTACAAAGACCGGGCTCAGAACTCGTTGGCTTACCACAAACCTTACAAGGAATACGTTTTTTAGCTTTTCAATGTTCATAACACCCTTCAGGCCGACGACAGGTCCACCCACAAACAAATCCAGTTCTGAGTAAATAGTTGCAAGAATATTCACCTATCATAGTAATAAGAAATAAATATTTTATTTTAAACAAAAATTTTTGTTATATTAATACAAATACCATATTCAATACTTACACAAGATGACTAACTATAAAGACATCGAATCAGCATTAGTTGAAGTAATCAAAGTAGCATATAGCCAAGACACGAAAAAATATGATAAAATAGGATTAACATATGTGAGTTATTTAAAAATAATACGACGTAAAAGAGATCCAAATGATCATTGCAGATATGTAGCAAAGCAACGAGCTTTAAATGAGGAAGTTTATAATGAAAGAATGGCGGATTTCAAAGACTGGTATAATGAAAAAGTGTATCAGAGCCTAGAAAAGTTATACAAATTATATCTTTCATTTGCGAATCAAGAAGAGGTTATACAAAAAGGTCTACAGAAGAAGTTAACGAAATACTTAAACTTTATGAATTGGAAATTTAATTCGTAAGCACCCATCGTAGTGGTAATTCTGTATTAGGAGTTATAATTTGAAGCTTCTCTCTTACAAAAGATCTTTTCAGGCCATTGCCCTTATTATCTATTAGCCAGTACAAGACCGGCTGATTTTTTTGCACTAGAGATTCACAAATATGATAAATTTGGGAAGACCAATTACAATCAGTTACACGTCGTCTCCTACTTTCTAATTCACCAGGATTAAGCAAATATCTTACTAAGACATTATGGGATAATCTAGGCTCATCAAACCCAATAGGTCCTTCTCATGGCTTGGAAGCTTTAGCAAAAACATATTCTTTTTTTTTTGAGCTTCAGAAGTTGAGTTACAGAATTGTCAAGCTTTACAAGAAAAATTGAAAGGTTTTTTATCTAAGCTCGACAGTGCTCAGTAGGAGGTAATCTCATTTTAACACTATCTTGAATAAAGAATGCCAATTCTTGAAGTGTATGATTAAATCTCTCAACAATATCCATAGATTCTTTAGAATTAACTAGTTGAATTTGGATACCATGTTCGTTCATTAATATGATAACATTACCTTAGAATTCTACGCCCCCATCTACCATTAAAACTTTAACTTTAGACCAGATAATTGGGCATATTCAGGAGTTAAAAAGTTTTTCAAATCCTTTAGTCATGCTAGCAGAATCACGTTTAGTTAAAGAATAGGTCTATTTAGTGCAAATAGCAATATCTACACAATTAAGTGCAAATTTATATTTTATTTTCAATTCAATCATAAAGCATATAGCATAAATTAGCTTGAATAACTTTCATAGGTACAGTAATATTACTAAAAGATGCTTGTGGAATAAATTTTGGCTGAGGCTTGTGAATCTGATGCAAAGCCTGCTTGTTTAGCCATTTTTTTATCATAGATAGAGTGAACTTATATCCGACTTTCTTGCAAGCATCCAACATTTTTTCAGCAGTCTGATAGTAACCTTCAGGTCTATAATATATCTCTTGCAAAGTGAGATCCTGATCTAAGTCTCGAGCTTTTTGAGGATCAATATAAATCAAAGGTTCTCCCATTCCAATTTTTTATAATTATAAAAAAAAGCTGGTATTTATTAGGTCAGATTCTACTCATTAGCTGAGGCATTTTTTTCCTTATGCTTTTGTCTAGCTTCTATCTCCTTCTGCAGGTTTAATGGAGTATCAAACCTTAGGCAGATTGCAAGGGATCATCTTTCGACCTAGCGAGATCAAATACAATAAATTCACCTCTTCAAAAGTAGCTATTAATGACCATAAATGCATTTTTACATCATTAGTATAGTGCTTAATAATCTTGGAAATATCTTCATACGAGCTACCAAAGTTAAAAAGTACTAAGTGTGAGCTGTTCTCACGAATGAATATAGGGGCTTTGTGATATTTTTGCATTACATATACGTATGAAATTGATGTCGCCCATTTCTAAAAAATTGGCCGATTTGATTTTGTATATATTCTGGGACTAGACATACATTCTCAAAAATAATCACTGTACTTCGTTCTGGTGAAAATGTTCTAACACTAGGTATTTTTTCTGGTGATATATAGCTGAAAGTGATATTTTCATAGTAAGGTGCTTTTGGATCTTTTGAAATTATACCATACATATATCTTACAAATGCCCACTTCAGCTCATCAGAGTGGTAACCGCAAACTATCAAATCATCACATGCAATATATCTAGAGCCACCTTTTTTACCTTTATATATGCATTCAGCTTTAGTACTGAGAAAAAGATTTCCTAAAATATTAGTCTTACCTGTGCCACTTTTCTCGCTGACTAACATTGAGAAAGTCCATGATGGACTTGTGGGATGGGATTGAATTCGGGATGATCCATGCTTTGTGGCCTCATCCATATCTATAAGGTAAAGTTTCATAAGAGGTAGTCATATCTTTTAGTTCTTCTGCATATCGGATTGGAAACCCATAACTATGATTCCTATTTAAAGGTATTTTATAGTTCAGAATATTTTTTTCTTCATTGTAAGGAGAATATCAATGAGAAAATATGTGCTATAGGAGGTATATGATTAGTAATACTATTACAAAGATAAATGCATAGTGAAAAAAGTTAGAATTGGGTAATTTTGAGGTTATTTTAGGACTAATAATGCCGTTATCTTTCTCCAATCCTTTATCACCTCTAATCATTTCTTTTGCTTAGATTCGCTGGATGTTTTTGAAATCTGCTCTAATAAAAGAGTATTAGTTTCTTGAAGGAGGGAATCTTTTTTTATTATTGCCTTTTACGCTGAAAGTAAATCATCTCTCACCCGCATTAATTCATCCTTTTTTTGGCCAATGTATCTTCTAACTCCATTTTTGCCAAATCTAAACTAATATTTTCGTTAGACAGTTTTATGTATTCCAGTTCAGATTTATGCTTAAGAGAATCCATTTCTGATAATCTCTTCTCTGCTAAAGAAACATCCTGCTCTAATTCCTCTACTCTTGAATGG